ACAGCCCTTAACCCTTGGATTTAGGCTTTGGGGGTAAGTTGTCAGAGAAGTAAGGGGTGGAGGGACTCTGTTGCTGGGAACATGGCCAGCAAGAACAGCATGCCCTTGTCATCGATGAGGAACTTGTTGAGAGTGCCTGGTATGTCCCCTAAACCCTACACCCTAGACCCTGTGCGCGGAGGTTCAACACGAGTGGAACAACCCGACAGCTGCTCAGGCCATCCAGGTGCGATCTTAGGGTTTAGGGGTTAGGGCTCCTGAATCTAAGTGCCATCATACTTTCTTTTTAACGAGAATCATGTAGGCCTTAAGAGCTTTTGGCATTTCTGGTTGTCTTTGTGCGGTGATAAAAAGGGTGCCCGAGCGAAGTTTCACATCATCCAGCCATGGCCATCACAGAGGTGATGAGCCCAATCATCGCTTGAGGGGCTCTGGAGGCGAACATTTCGATGGATTATCTTCGACGTCGCTTTCAAGGAGAGCTTCCTGCCGATCCGCCAAGTGATAGTCATGAAACTGGAAGCATTGATAGACTACAGATGGAAAATCCGAATTTAGATGACCGGGCTGTACCGGGAGATGAGCCGCTTCGTGGTGGCGACCGGGCTGCGGGCGACGAGCTAAGACGTACGGATGTGCCGGTGTCTGTACAAGGAAATGTCTGGTGGTCTGAGCGGGCCAACAATGAGCTGTTGCTGCGAAATATGAGGCCAAGCGACTTACCCTTGGAGGAGACAGAGCCTCCTTATGGGCAAGGAACGACAGGTTTGGATGTTCCTGCTTCAACCACTGAGCATTTTGATCTGACTGCTAGAGATAGTCCTCGACATTCAGGTGGCGAGAGGTCAGACACTGGAACTGAGAGAGCAAAGGCTCCTTCGCTGGGAAGCATGGATTCCAGAGGAGGGTCGTCAGGCATCTTTGCTGAGCGACCGGTGGGAGTTAGATCTTTTGGTGGAGCTGATGGCTTGGACGCAACTACGACAGCGAGAGACCAGCAAGCTCTATCAAGTACTGCTCCTTTGACCCAACCTGGTTTTTTGGATGCAAGAGCAATGGAAGAAGCTAGACATCACATGGCAACGCTACCTGCCTCGCAACTGATGGACCTCCTACATGACAGCCGAAGACCCATAGACCCCGTCATGGCCATCTTGCTGCAGAGACTGGAAAAGGCTGAGCAGTCTAGATCGACTAGCACCTTGCATTCTGCTTTGGAGATTCCCGTAGAAGGGCAGCGATATGAGCAGTTTCAGCAGAGTAGCAGTAGAGTAGGTGCGTACAGACCGGAAAACCTTGAGCATTTGTACAGAACGACAACATATGATGGCCTGATTAGAAGGGATGGGAGCTTAGGGGTTCAGGGTGATATGAGTTGGGACAGAGGTGGTGGTTTAGGGGGTATCGCACAGCCTGAAGCTTCGTGGGGACGTTTTCCTGCAGTCCCGAGCCTGCCTGGCACGCACTCCTTTGCCCAGCCTGATGCAAGCCGCGCAACCTCTAATGCCTTCCCTAAAGCCCCTAATGCCTCAAGCACCGCCAGGATAATGCATGCCCATCGTGAGGCGAGCCATGTAAGTTCCGTTGACCGAGCAGATCCATTTGTGTCAGCAGGACTGTTTCCTGCCGTGCCTGTGTCAGATCCCATAGATATCCTGGATAGGGTTCCTCCGCGGGATAGTGAAGGTAAGGGATGGGGAAAGGATAAGGGTTACTTTGGATCAGGAGGCCAGCATCCGCAAAGGCCTTCCCAGCACATCTATAACCCGGGACTTCCAGGGACTGGGGTTCTAAGGGATAAGGATTTGTTGGGGGATTGGGGGGGTTTGTTGGGTGTTGAGGGTCCCGTGAGACCACTGCCAGAACCTGTGCCCAGCCTGACTTCGTTGTTGCCCAACCTGCACCATGATCCTCCTATTGGGACTAGACAGCCGGACCGGCTGTTAGACATGCGAGCAGAATCTGGATCCAGGCCTCAGCCCCTGTCGCTGATTGACTTGGACCCCGTGCCAATCGCCACTGGTGTCACTGCCGCAGGTGACAGTCACTTTCCGCCTTTAATTGATGCGCTGTCCCCAAAGGCCAAAAGTCCGTTCAGGAGTGGGTTAGGAGGTTTGGGGGAGCCGGATGGTCCTAGGACCCCTAGGGTTGGTACTAGCGGTAATGCCGTGTACACTCCTGGTGGGACCCGTGTGCCAGAAGGACCACCTCCGCTTACGCCACCTCGGTCTGTATCCTTCGGTCCGACTACCACTGTGCCATTGCCACCTTCACCGATACCAGGTCCACCTCCTTTGCCATGGGACCCAAGTGAAGTAGGGAAATCCGAGGAGCCATCTAAACTGGTGCAAACCTTGCCTCTTTTAGAGGTAACGGAGGGATCCGCTGAGGCCAGCGTGGCCACTGGAGATTGGATGGCTAGGATCGGACCACTGATGCGCAGCCTTAGTCCGGGGGCTCCGGAATGGTGGTCTCGGGTAGTAAGCACTGCTACAGAGTACTATCACCAGTGGTTAAAGTCAGACTCTCTTCGTCGTCTTACCATAAAATCAGATGTGGTAGCCCAGGGTGCAATGCTAGAATATGGGTCTCTTCGGAGAGTTGAAGAAAGGGGGTCAGTACTTGTTCTCCAGGCGCTTCCACCAGCCTTGCAGAGCGAAGCAGTCAGCGTGAGAGCGTTGGGGACTGTGCCCTTATTATTCTTGGCTATGACCAAGTATCAACCGGGAGGAACTGGAGAGAAATCTGCAATCCTCTCATTTTTAACGCAACCGCAATTAGAGGGAGGAAATGGGGTACAGTCAAACCATGCGGCGTTGCGCAAATGGGAGCGTCTGTATAGGCGCTGCGTCGAGCTAGGGCTCGCCCCGCCAGACCCCACCCTACTCGTAAGAGCCCTAGACGGGCTAGGCAAGGCCATTGGAAACAAGTCCCCGCACATAGCGTTCCGTCTTGCTACGTTCCGCCACCAATACCAGCTAGATGCAATACCTAACGAAACGAGTGTCTTGCAATATTGCCAATTGCTCATCGCAGAAGCGGAGGCTTGGATGATCGCTGCTTCCGCGGGGGGGGAACCGTCGAAGCATCCCAGAGTTGCTGCGATGGATCCTGCAGCTCCTCCCGAAAATCCAAAGAAACCACCAGCAGGAAAAGCTAAAGGGGGGAATAAGGGTGAAAAAGGGAAGGGTGAAGGGGGCCCATTAACTGCTGAAGGGAACTGTAAGTTCTCTATGTCCGATGGAGGATGTAGATATGGTAAGCCCTGTATCCATCCACACCCAACCCTAACGCCTTCAGAAGGAAAATGCTTCAACTGTGGCGCGGTGGACCATGGCATGACCGAATGCCCTAGACCGAAAAGTACTTCAACTCCAAGCCCAGGCAAAGGAAAAGGCAAAGAGAACAGCCCAAAGAAGCCTCCTCAGCCCTCCAGCCCTGCAGCTGAGCCGAAAGCACCTGCCGTGGCGCCAAGGAAGTCTCCGAAAGGTAGGAAGCTGGAAGGGGCCCCTGCTGTTGAAGGAGCTGAGTCGGAAGCCCGAGTTGCAGCACTCCAGGCGACAAGCGGGTATGACGGTGCCAAGGTGTTAAGTGTGGCCGCTTCCTTAAAGGGTATTGAAGAACATAAGCCCCGTGGGTTGATAGATGGGGGAGCAACACACAACCTTCGCTACGCTGGACCCAATGAATATCGGAAAGCCCGGCCAGTGACAGTGAAGCTGGCGTCCGGAGAAGCCCACGATCTTCGCATAAGTGCTGTAGGCACTCTACTGAGCCCTAACCCTGCAGTGCAACCAATCGTTGCCATGGGTCTGTGCACTAGACTTCTTGGGTGTAAGGTTGTCTGGGAGGGTAGCCAGTGTTGGATAGTGCATCCCAACTCGGGAACCTTAGATGTGACAATGGTGGATGACTGTCCGGAGGTCGAGAGCTCCGTTTGCCTTAATCTCATCCAGCAAATTGAGGAGGTGAGAGGAAAGTTGATGCTTAAGGCACTCCGCCCAGTCGAACCAGGATCGGCAGAGTGGGTGCAGGCGTCTGGGGAGGAGTTCTTTGAGGGGATTAGGGACTGGGTGCGAGCACAATGGACCGATGAGTCTGTGAATGCAGAGCACATTATCCCGAAGGAGAGCTTCGACATTCACGACCTGAAGTTGAACCGTCATGCGAGGCGTAGAATCAAACGAGGTCATGTCGTTGTGTGTGTTGGAGCTGACGTGTCGCAGTGGCGGTTTCGAGGCTCACAACAAGTGGTCAAACTCTCACCTGAAGTTAACGGGGGATTTCGAAATGAGGCCTTGTACAAGTACCTTTTGAGGTGTGCTGGCGATGGGCTTATTACAGGGCTTATCGGGGACATGCCACATCAGAAGGATGAACAGGTTAGGTGCATAACTCTTGCCGAAGTAGCGCAGCAAGGCTTGAGACGCACGTCGGATACCTCCCAGCAGTGTATGTTGGTCCTCAAGTATCCGGAAGGGTCGCCACTCACTCAGGATCCAGGGTTGGGTCAAATTGTGAAAACCTGGGCACTAAAAACTGTTTCCTTTGACTTGGGAGCATTGGATGGGACACACCAAGAGCCCACCCATGTAATCACCAACAGCGGTAGCATTTGGGAGACCTTTGATGAAGTTAGAGCACCTAACGGGTCGATATGGGCTCCAACTAAGTCGCACCATGAAGTAAAGAAATGGCCTAAAGCACTCTGTACAGCTGTCCACCTAGCCATGTCCGAATGGCAAAGAGGGCCCGAGTATTTGGAAAAAGAAGACAACATGAGGATTGCCCGACTTCAACATCTTTTCGCTATAGGGTGTGAGCCAGGGTACCCGGACGAGACATGTCTACTACGTCCCCTAAAAACAAAATCTAAAGAGATGTTTCGTAGACACTGCTTAGCGGGGCATCGTCCGTGGCGGCCAGACTGTGCAGCTTGTGTGGACTCGATGGCACATGTGAGGCCGCATCGCAGGCTGAAGTTCTCTCGAGTGTGTGGGATGAATGTGGACATCTCAGGTCCTCATCGTACACAGAAAGCAGAAGACCAGGACGTCGCCTGTCCGAGATATTTTATCGTGTGTAACTACTCTTTTCCCCTGTTCCAGCATCCTCTATCTCAGACTGAGAAGGAGGATGTTCCCCAGGATGTCCCTATACCAGATGAGTTTGAGGAAGAACCGCCAGAAGATGCTGTGCCTGGGGTGGGAGGGGTAGTAGATGGGGAGGACTGGGAGATCGCCGAAGAACCAGATGAACGGGGAGACGACTGGATCGATGAGGCGAGGGTTAAAGATGAAAACAAAAAGTGGGAAACCATAATTGCCACCTGTAAAGAGCCCACCTATAAGGTCCTGAATATCCCGTTGTTAGAGATCCTTCCTAGTAAGTCCCCTCAAGCCATTATAAGTGCGTTGAACCGCTTCTATGCCAAACTACGAAGCTGGGGGCTACCTGTGTTCCGCCTTCACTCAGATCATGCACCGGCCTTGACACACAAAAGTGTAAGTGACTGGGCAACCCACAGAGGAATACATAAAACCACATCACTTCCTGAACAACCCGCCGGTATTGGAAAGGCTGAGATGTTGGTTAAAGCAATAAAAGCACAGGTGAGGGCCCTGCTATTCTCAGCAAACGCACCTGCACTGCTGTGGCCGCACGCGGCCAGATATGCGTGCGCATCTCTTCAGCGCCGAGCTTTGCTTCAGGTAGGACACGAGTCCCAGACCTTAGTACCCTTTTACTCACTGGTAAAATTTAGATCTAGGACTTGGAAAGACACGGTTTGGGGTTCTAAAGCCACGGAAGGTAGGTTAGTGGCCCCTAGTACCGACATCAGTAGAGGCTACGTTGTACGAGTTAATGACGGCGGGGTTCACCGGCTATACGCGACCACTCTCGTGTATAGAAACTTCCAGGAAGCGCCCGAGCTTCCAGAGGTCCAAGGTCCTGATGAACCTGCCCGCCAGGTGTGGCCTACCGGGGCTGTGGTTGGGCGCCCGTGCCCATCTGGAGCCTCGGAGGTACAAGTCCTTCCAACGCCTGAGCCTGAGCCTCCTGCAGCGGAGGCTGCATCTGCATCTCCTTGTGACAAGGCCACCAGTCATGTGTCAGCCCTTCCACGACCTGTGCACCCGCTTGACGTTACCAAAGCGCCAGACTGTGTTGGGGTTCCCGTCGGGTCCTTGACAGCCCTCGAAGAGCACTATCGGGCACTGCCAGACGATGCGTTAGATGCCGAGGCTACAGGGCTGCAAGGATGTATTACGAGTCCACGACTTCGTGAGAAAATTACAGCATTCCTCAAGGTGTGGACAAGTCGAGCCCAGAATGTGCGTGCCAGTGACACAGGGTCGGGTCGCCAGGTAGGGGTTTATAGAAGGGGTGGAGTTGTGGGTTTAACTCGTGACTTTCACCGCTACCCTAACATCATGAGGCTGCTTACCGGCATTGTCAAGCAAGTCATGCCGTCCTTGACCTTCAACGCTTTGTCCTTGTCCTGGTGTGCCTGCTTCAAAGTGCATCGTGATGTGCATAACGAGTGGGACACTCCCAACGTTGTGATTCCTTTCCTCATGCCGGCTACTGGGGGTGACTTGTGGCTTTCCTTGGTGCCAGGGGATGTGGTGCAAGGGGAGGTGCAGTTGAAAGAGTTGCCTGATGGCAAAGCGCAGGCAGGTCAGGTGTTGAAGCTAAAAAAGTGGACAGCATGCAGCTTTGATGCCCGCCGGTGGCACGCAACTACCTCTTATGGCCCAGATGAACAACGACTTGTGCTGGTAGCATACACTGCCGCCATTATGCGCAATCTCCAGCCGGGAGATTTTGAGGCTTTGCGTGCTGGCGGCTTTCCACTTGGGGCTCACACGTGCCCGGCAGAACGCTGTGTCGGGGCTGATCTGCCTTCCTCAGTTCAGCCGGGGGAGTCCGCTCTTTTTGCCGTGCCCGTCCTTCGGAAATCTTGTGAACCCGGGGAGCAACCTCTTGTGCTGGGAAAATCTGAAGCACATGCCTTACCTGTCCTTGGCTCGTCTGGTGATCCGGGGGAGTCCAACACCTGTGCCACGCATGTGCTTGCAACGTCGTGTGAGCTGGGGGAGCAGTGTGTTCCCTGTTGTACTGCTGCAATAGTGCAGCTGCCGAGCAGTGCGGATCAGCTAGATAGTCCCCAAGGGTACCCTAAAGGTTTCAATAGTCCACCCCATACCTTGCCAGACCCTAATGGTTTAACGACTGCTGATCTGAGGAAACTATCCAACGGTCCAACAAGCCAGGCGTGCGAGCCTTCCACCCATTCCCTGTGTCCCGATGTTGAAAACCCTAAGGGTTTAGAGGTTTTAGGCCCTTCCCCTAAAGGGTTAAATGTGATATCGCAAACTGAGCCTGTGCCAGGACCGGTGCCATCGTGTGCGTCCTGCGTTCCTTCCATCAACCCAAACCTCCCTGACCCTAAAGGTTGCGTGAGTTTAGGCCCGCACCCTAAGGGAGCAACTGATGTAACTGCAAGTGAGCTTTGTGGTCCGCAGCATGGGCCAGAGTATGGTCCCAGGTGGTATCACAGCGTGCCGCTGCCTAGCGTGGAGCCGGTTGACCCGGCTATTCTTGGAGACATGCCTGAGGTGGAAGGAGATGAGGAGGATGTAAGGGTGCGTCTTGAAGGCCTTAGACTTGCAGCCATAGCAGCCCTAAAGGACCAAGAAACGGCGCTGGCAAAGGACATGCAAGCCGGAAGCCAGGTCTTGGCTGAGGCTACAGCGAACTTGATAGCAAGGGGCAATGCAGAGATTCAAGTACTTGAGGGTGACCTGGAATATCTTGCCAGCTGTGAAAACTACGACCCTGAAATAGAGGGACCCCAAAACCAGGATGCTAGTCTGCGTTCAATAACTGTAGAAGAAGGGGAGCAGTTGTGGCAAACAAAAATTGTTTCCATTACAGATGTCATGGCAGACATAAAATCTTGGACACCTGCACTTGAGGCGGAACTGCTCTCTTTGACAGAGGTTAATGAGGCAACTGGCGTGATTACAGAGGACGAGGTCCGAGCACTAGAAGCGGACCCTGAGCTTCATGTGGTCCGTCTGCCTGGGAAAATTGTTGCAGTAATAAAGCCCCCTAATAAGAAAAAGGCACGACTGGTAGCATGCGGAAATTTCTTGCATAGGCCTAAAGATCGGGGATCCCCTACCCTTGATAGACGGGATCTATACTCAGCCGGGATGGATACCCTGTCGCTAAGAACCCAACTAGGCGTAGGAGCCCAGTATGGCTGGAATTGTGGGTCTTTAGATGTGAAAACTGCATTTTTAACAGCACCTTACCAGCCAGGAAAGTCTGAACGTCCTGGGAAAAGGAAAGTAGTGGTGGTTCGGGTCCCCCGGGCAATGATCCAGGCAGGGTTGTGCCCTTCGGGATCGTGGCTTAGAGTCTATGGCGCATTATATGGGCTGCAAGAATCGCCGCATTCCTGGTCTCTTGACAGGGATAAGAAGCTGAGGTCGGTTACGTGGGAGGGGGCTACCGGGCACACTATGCGTCTTGTGCAAACCAAGTCCGATGTATCCATGTGGCTTATCTGGGATACTGTAGAGGAGTGCATCAAAGGATCTTTGGGAGTTTACGTTGATGACTTGTTATTTATGGCTGATACCCCAGAGCTTAAAAAGGCGATGCAAGCTGTGCAGGGCATATGGACGTGTTCTGCGCCAGCATTTGCGACAGATGAGCAAGGACTAAAGTTTTGCGGTCTTCAAATTTGGAAAAAAGGGGATATGCTTCATGTAGGCCAGCCAGATTATATCAAGGACTTAGCAAGTAGATACCCTGAGATGACTGCATCTCTACACTTGCCCGACCTAAGAATTGACCCCGAACCTGAAGAGGTAGAAGTGTCCGCAATTCGCTTGGGGCAGAAAGTAGTAGGAGAGCTCACCTGGGTTGCCAACCGTTCTAGACCGGATATTTCCTTTTCAGTGAATAGACTGAGCAAGCTGGTGTTAAAGTATCCCAAGTACGTTTTGCAAGCAGGCAAGCAGTTGATTCGATACCTCCTGGCAACCGTCGACCTTGTGCTGAGATATGGACCGAAGCTTCCTTTGCCACAGGATTTCGTAGAATCCCTAGTGAAAGAGCCTGCTGCTTCAGACTTGTGCACATATGCAAATGCCTCCTTCGGTCAACAGGATGGTCGGTCACAGAGTGGTGTTATCGTTACCCTAAATGGTGCACCCCTAGGATGGCTTACCTTGACCCAAGGGTTCATCACACTTAGCACCGCGGAAAGCGAGCTAGTAGCGGCAGTAGACGGGATGTCCTTTACCCAAGCCCTCAAGCCGTTGGTCGATGAAATGTTAGGTAAGGCAACAACATGGTTTGTGTATGGGGATAGCGTATCATGTCAAAGTGTCCTATTGTACCCTGCTGGGGCCTGGCGAACTAGACACCTGAGGTTAAGATGCCGATATTTCCATGAACTAATCGAAGAAGATCTAATAAGGCCCCATCACATCCCTGGGAGATTTATGCCCGCTGATATTATGACCAAGCCCATGATGTTTCAAAAGTTAGCAGAGCTTATGAAGATGTTGGGTGTAGAGGGGTTACCAAAATTGAAATTTACTGAAAGGTCCAATCCTAAAACAAAGAAGCAGTCAAGCGCCTTGGACTCCACCAATATGCCTGCCCTGCCATCAACAGCGGTCAGATTGCTTGTGCTGTTCAACTGTGTCAATGCCGTCCGAGCACAACAGTTCGTGAGCTGGAATCCGCAAGTGCAAATCTTCCCATTCCTTCTGGGAACCCTCTTTTGCGCAGTCATACTTCTTGGATGTGGGTTCTGGTGGCTGCGACAGGAGTTGAAGCATACCCGACTGAGGCTCCTGCGAGCCTTAGCTTCTGAAGCACGTTTGGAAGCAAACCTGGAGAGGTTTCGTGAGACCGTAGCAACGGCGCCTGTCCAGCTGAGTGATGCTGGAACGGTTCAGGAGGGCAGTGTAGGGGAACCTGAACAGGAGCTAGGACCAGAAGTGATGGTCGGCCCATATGGACTACGTGCTGTTCTTTGCAGAATGGGAGGACTCGTGCTGCGACTACTGGATCCCAATGCTGCTCAGGTGTTCTGGCTTCGGGCGTTAGCTGGAGGATGGAGATACCTGGTGGCGGAGGCTTATGAGCGAACTCAAGTGAGAGTTCGCCCTGAACTTGGTGAGGTGTCCGAGGACAGCAGCACGGATACAAATGAGCAACAACCAGAACCAGGCCTCGAAGAAGTGGATGATTCTGCTTATGTCATGGGGGCCTCCGACCCTTACGACCCTTACATGGATCTCACACCAAGCGAGCGTGCTAGGGTTGATCCGAACAACTACAATCCTTCACCTGCAGCATCTATGGAGAACGATGGAACCTTGGCAAACTCACTGAGGAACGTGCTGTCGCTGAACGGCATACTCATGATTGCATACTTGGGTCCAGATGAGCCGGGAACTTGGGCATGGCATTTGGCGTCAGCTGACTTCAAGTGGTCAGTGCCGCACGCCCGAGGGACATTCCTGGCATACCGAGACTATCTGCGGCGACAAACGGGTCTAGCTGGGCCCCTTGGGATATACATAGACGATGCAGCTCCGGGATTACAGCCGGAGCTATCTGACGACGGAGACGATGAGCTTGCAAGGGCGGCTTTTCTCCTGTATCAGAATGACCTGAGGTTTGACTGGGAACAGCTTCCAGAGCGACAACAAGATGTGTATCACGAGCTCGTCGGAAATTGGCTGATGAGCATTTCAGAAGTGGATTGACACCTCGGGGCTTTGAGCTCCAGCTGCACCGCGAACTACCACCGCAGATGCACAGAGGGTGGTGTAGGTTCGGGTACTAGGGTGTGTTTTAAGGGTTTCTTTTTGTTCGGTTTTCGGTTCGGTTCGAATAGTTGGGCAGTCCTTGTAGGCCGTTTGGGTTAGTTTTGCCAAGCTGCGCGGACTGTGAGACTGCGGTCGTTGTGGGTCCGATCATAGCTGTGCGTTACCCCTTTCAGTTGCCTCTTGGTGCTGCGCAAGCATCCCGAGCCCTGACCTTCAGATGTTATGCCAAAAGGACATCCGGTGTGACCGGACTGTGAGACTGCAGTCGTTGTGGGTCCGGTCATACCTTCCATCGCTTTCGCTGTCCTCTTGTCCGTGACATAGCACAGGCAGCCGGCCTGGTGCTCAATCCTTTGCCAAAGCATGTTAACGTGTGCAACAGCATGTATAGACCAGCCACCAGGTTGCTGTCCGCAGCAGTGAGCTGCTGCATGCACTTTGGGTGATTTGTAAATAGGTGGGCTTCCATTAAGGTTTGTATGGGTCGGTTCGGGTTGCAGAGGTATGTGACTGTTAGACTTTGGTCGCTTTGGGTCACCGCCTGCACCCTAATGCCTGGAGGGCATAACTCCCATACCTGCCATGATATAGTAAGCCCCTAATCCTTCAGCCGATGCCGTAGGCATCAAACATAGGCATGCCTGTAAAATAATTCATAAGGTTTACCCTCCTTGCAGCGTGTGAAGGCTCCTGCCATCAGGGGGAGTGTGCGCGGAGGTTCAACACGAGTGGAACAACCCGACAGCTGCTCAGGCCATCCAGGTGCGATCTTAGGGTTTAGGGGTTAGGGCTCCTGAATCTAAGTGCCATCATACTTTCTTTTTAACGAGAATCATGTAGGCCTTAAGAGCTTTTGGCATTTCTGGTTGTCTTTGTGCGGTGATAAAAAGGGTGCCCGAGCGAAGTTTCACATCATCCAGCCATGGCCATCACAGAACCCTAAACCCTAAAACCGACCAAGAATACTGGGTTTGCAACCTCATACGGCTGCCTAAACCCGAACTCTAAACCCTACACTCTGTGCCTCATAGCCTAAATCCTAATTAAACCCTACACTCCGAGCCCTAGATTCAGGTTCTCCCCACCTTCGGTGTGGGTAGCTAGGTGTTAAACTAAACTCTTCTCATCGCCCAGAAAACTCCCCGCCCATCACCCGTGGCCCACCCAAAATTATCCCGTCGAACGCCAGGTGGATTGGGATTGCAACCCTAAACCCTACACCCTAAACCCTAAACCCTAAACCCTAAGCCGGCAACCAGGTGATGGGAGCGGAGCCCTCCGCAAGACCACCAGCTGAGTCAGCTAAGGGGTCAAAGGAAGGACCCCTAGAATGGGCCCTTAATCTTATTCCCCTAAATAACCCATTCTCATATATATACACACACACATCTTTTCGTAACCCCCCAAATAACCTCGAACTAGCCCTAAGGTCTCTTGTAAGGGTCCCTCCTTTAGTCCCTTGAATCAGCAGCAACCTATCTTGACTGTGCTTCTTGGGTCCTTCCTACACCCTCAACACGACCCCCCTGAACCCTCAACACGACCCCCCTGAACCCTAAACCCCAAACCCTAAACCCCAACAGAAAGATCTTGCGGAGGCGCAATGGTGGGAGAACTACACCCCTGAGGACTTAAATGGCTTCAGCTATGGGCCGCAGAGGATGACTTTAGGGAAGGAAATGTCTATCTCCAAACCCTAAACCCTAAACCCTAAACCCGAAACCCGAAACCCTAAGCCCTTTGGTCGAGGGTACTATAGGTTAGAGCATCCCCAAGCAAGAGGGCACCCCCTCTTGAAAACAGCTCACAAGGAGCTGTATGTGCACTAAACCCTACACCCTACACCCTACTTCCTGAACCCTCCAGTTAGGGTATAGAGATTAGGGTTTAGGGTTGGGGGGTGTAGGCTTGCAGGGGCTGAGGGTTGTAAGGCTGGAAGGTCGGATGCGGGGTGTAGGTTTAGGGCTGAGGGCTTAGGGCTTCAGCTTTAGGGCTTAGGGCTTAAGGCTTAGGGCTTGGGGCTTAGGGCTTCGGGTTTAGGGCTTAGGGTTTAGGGCTCAGGGTTTCGGATGCCCCTAACCTTAACCCATGTGGCGAAGCCTTCGTGTTGGTAGCAAGCTCGCTGAACTGACTCCATGAGCTCCTGGCAACCAGGCGAAATCAGGGCTTGCGGGTCTAAACCCGTCTAGCTTCCAAGGGGGGGGGTGGGGTGGGGGGTGGCGAGAGGGTTTCCATGTCTGAACCCTCCTACAACTCCCTCAGCCCTGAATCGAGACAAAGAGCGTGAATGATCTGCGCCGTGCCTGTGCAATCTTGGGGCCCTCCTCGGACATGATGTCCAGACCTCCAAGGCTTAGGGACTTTAGGGTTTAGGGTTTAGGGTTTATGGTTTGGGGTTTAGGGTTTCGGGTTTGGGGTGTAAGGTTGGGGTTCACCACGCGGCCCACAAGGGTTGAGGGTTTGGGGGGCTAGTGGCTTAGTGTAGGTGGGGTAAAGAATCCAGACCACATCAAGAAGGAGCTTGGGGCTGAACCCTCAACCCCAAAACAACCCTACATTTACACCCCTAAGCCCGAAACCCTGCATTTACACCCCTAAACCCTAAACCAAAAGCCCTAAATCCCTAAACCGTAAACCCTCCAACTGAAGAACAGAAGCCCCGAGCACAACCCTAAACCCTAAGTCTTATATAAACCCTAAACCCTAAACCCTAAACCCGAAATCCTAAACCCCACACCCTTAGACCCTAAGCCCTATCGGAAAGCTACCCCGGCGGCTGCGGTCCAGGTTATCCATTCTCGTGGGGTCGTGGCGATGATCTTGTTGGGGGAGCATGGCTCCCTATGAGCAAGCCGAGGGCTCCCGGTGGGTTTCATGGCTTCCAGATGGTTTGCTCCCATCTGGAACCCCTAGCTGCCTTCCTCACAGAAACGGTGGCCCCAGTACAGCTGCCATCCTTCCAAGGCCTCGGCGGACTTGATCTTGCGAGATCCAGGCGCGGAAATCCGTCCACGACATGCTTTCGTGAAGCTTTCAAGTAGCCCAAGACTCGGACCAAGGCTGCCGGTGAACCCTAAGTGATGCAAACCCTAGGGTTTAGGGTTTAGGGTTTAGGGTTGGTTAAGGGTTTGGGGCTTAGGCTTCTGGGCTTAGGGTTTAGGGTCTACGGTTTAGGGTCTAGGGTTTGATATGTTTCCACTGCATCCCGAGGATTACGAGGGTTGGGCCTCAAGAGAGGCATGGGTGCCTTCATCGGGGACCAAATGCCACATCTTGTCTTTCTTAGGGGGCTCCTAGGTAGGGTTTAGGGTTCAGGGCTTAGGGCTTAGGGCTTAGGGCTTCGGGTTTAGGGTTTAGGGTTTAGGGTTTAGGGATCGAGGGTACTAGAATCCCTATTAAGGACTCTTAGTTTAAGGGAGAACATCCCAACTTATAGCTTTCACGGCTTGAGGGGTTGGGGGGGCTCAGGGCTTAAGCTTTGGGTCGAGGGTCTAGGAGCCCCCAGGGCACACGTACATCATTAGCTATGTACTTTGGGCCGTAGGAGGTACGTTAAGGCCCAAGTATGACATGTTTAGGACCCTGGCCCCTAGACCCTAAACCCTAAACCCAGAAACCCCCTAAACCCCTTACTATAAACCCTGTAAACCGCAAACCCTCCTAAACCCAGCCCCAAACCCCTAAATCCAGTAATCCCTTCCCCCTTTTCCCGCACCCTCCGGCACCCAGCCCAATACTAAACGTGTTTTAGAATTCGGGGGGAGTTGAGGGTCTCCCCCTTGAGTTGAGCCATCAGGGTTTAGGGTTTAGGGCTGAAGGCTCAGAGGATTTTCGGGGTTTAGGGACTCAAGGCTCAGAGGGTTTAATTAGGGTTTAATTAGGGTTTAATTAGGGTTTCATTTGGGTTTCATTAGGGTTTAATTAGGGTTCAGGGCTTACGGCTAAGCCCTAACTGAACCCGAAACCCCAAACCCCAAACCCTGGTCGCAGCCACTACCACTGTCGGCCTTGCGGTTTAGGCTTGGGGTTTTTTCAGGTTTTAGGGTTTAGCTCCCTCCTAATTTTAAGTTTCTTTGCGGTCGAGGCGAATTTTGGAATTACGAGGGGGGTGGGGGGGGAGGGCGGGGGAGGGGGTTGGGTTTTACCCTAAACCCTAAACCCGAAACCCTAAACCGTAAACCCTTCGGGGGAAGAAATTATTCCCTCCTTAGGTACATGAACCCTGAGGGAAGGAGCCCTTTGGGGTGTGGAGTTCAGGATTAGGGCTTATACAGGGATTGGAGTTCAGGGTTCAGGGTTTGGAGTTTCGGGTTCAGGGTTTGGGTTCTTAATCCCTGTTCCCCTAGGAAGAAAAAAGGATCCTTTTTGTTTATATATAAGAAAGCCCAGAACCCAAAAAGTAAAAAGGATCCCTAACACTGATTTAGGGTTGAGGGTTGGGGGGGGGGTGCGAGGTTTCGGGGGGTTTCGACGCCTGAGCCGTTCACAAAAATGGTGGAGATGTTGCGCATCTCGTTCACGTACGTCAGGGTGCCTCGGGAAAGCTGCATCCCTAGCCCTAAACCCTAAACCCTAAACCCTAAACCCTAGAATCTGCAGACCTCCAGTCTGAAGTTCTGAACCGTTTTCCCGTGGTGTAGCGTTTCGGGTTTAGGGCGTAGGACCTAGTTGCACCCCCCGCACCCCGCCACCCTCACCCCACCACACACATCCTAGTTAAACCGTTAAACCCCGCCCCAAAACCTAAACCCTAAACCCTAAACCCTAAACCCTAAACCCTAAACCTCAAACCCCAAACAAACCCTGCAACCAAAACCCCAGGCCCTAGATCCGAAACCCGAATTTTGTGGACAATTCGCTGTTTACTTATATCTAGATCACCTCTTGAGAAATACATATATGTGTATATGTATATGTGTCTGCACCAAAGTCCCTAA